GGCTTCTTCTAACAGTAAGGATGGTTCTGATGAGGATGTGGATATCATGAGCGATGGTGACAGAGAGCCTCAACAGATAATACAGTCAGCTGAACGGGATGCTATTGATCTCCTTGGTCATGGTTCTAATGCTGTTGACATCGAGGGTCATGATTCTGATGCTGTCGACATTGACGGTCATGATTCTGATGCTGTCGACATTGACGGTCATGATTCTGATGCAGTTGATGTCGAGGGGAACAGTTCAGATGAGGGTCATGGTTCTGAAGCTGACAGAAAAAAGTTCTCTGATAATAACTGGAAAATGGAAGTAACAACTCGTACCAGTCCCACTGCAAATGAAGAAGTTGGCATTTCAGGGCAGGAAATTTTTTCTTCTGGTAACGACAAGCTACGAGAGCGCCAAAATTTTATTGGACAGTTGTTTGATGACACAGAGAATACAACCAAGGATAACTTAAAAAATGAGCAACTTGACACCTCAGAGAGGCTGGCCAAAGACCAGAACCAGAAAGCCCCTGATTTGGAGCACTACAGTCAGAAATCAGCAAGGGCGAAAAATATGAAATCCCATAGCTTCAATCAGTTCCCTGCCAGTCAAACGATAGATCCACCTAAAGAACTTCAGAAGTCATTTATTGAAAAGTCGAATAGACATGGTCAAATGAAGCCTGTTGATAGTTCAGGTAAATCAAATAAACATTCTAATGCCGTAGGCAATGTACGCAAATCTGAAGAAGGGTACCATTTGTCGCATGAAATGCTTTCGAGTCGGTCAGAAAAGGTCTTCAGGGACAGTCAGAGAGATGATGTTCATTTGAAAAATAAGTTTCCAAGGAATAAAAAAGGTGGTGAGTCAGTCATTCGACCTTCATTACCTCCTGACACATCCAATAGAAAACATGGTGAATTGGATGGAACTGACAAGGATCCCAAGAATGGTGCAGGAATGAGCATAGGTTCTTCTCCCTTGGATAGCCAGAGAACACATTTGGCGAAACTACCTAAGGGAAATGGATCTGTGCTCCAAACACAAGTTCCGGACTTGGAGTTGGGTGAACTGCCTGAGTCATGGGGCGAAGATACAACATTGAAGCAACTCGAAGAGAATTGTTCTTTTAGGCAGTCAAATTTAAAACCAAGCACTTCAGAGAACTTTGGTATCGACTCGAACAAACGAAGGTCTAAAAAATCTGACTCAAAAAAGCCAGCTCCTTCACATGCCAGTAATGGTATCAAAGAGTTTCCCAAGCATGTCGTTGAAGATTCAGAAAGATCCCAAAAGTGGGCTTTGCAGTCACATGAGCAGAACCTGACAGGTACGGATACTGAAATTGTTGCTCAGAATAAAAATTTAGAGGATACAGCTAATAAATCAAGACAAAAAGATAGTAGAGCAAGAGGAGGAAGCAGTGTGGAAGGCTATGGAGAGACGAACAAAAAAACACCCGTTGTAAAACATGGCTCCAAACGAGCATCCACATCCCGGTCATCAAGGGAGAGTAAAAGACATGCGTCTGGCACAATTGCAAATTCTATCAATGGACACAAAGATGCAATTTCAATACCAGGTGAGAAACGGAGGACATCTTTCGATGCAGAAGACCCTTCTTATCTGAAATACGAGAAAGCTTCTCCTGAGCCTAAGGGACCTATTAGTGATCTTCTGCAGTGAGTAAACTGAAACTATTATGTTGGGAAAGCTAACTGCTTAGTATTTATGTTTCTAATAGATGACAATGTTTCTCTATTTCAGGTATGAAGCCTATAAGCAGGAATTTTTGGATAAATATGATAGCTACTGCTCCATTAACAAGATATTAGATGGCTACAGGTAGCTAGACAAACTCTTTGTTCATAACTCTCAGATCATTTGTGATGTCCAGTCCTAGTTTATTAGCTTTAATTTATTTATCTTTCAATTATTCTCAGAACTGAGTTTCAAAAGTTGGGGCGAGAACTTGACTTTGCAAAAGGGAGGGACATGGAGAGATATAACAAAATTCTGGAGCAATTAAAGCAATCGTATCGCAAAGAAGGGGAGGTAATCTTCTATCTCTAACCAATTAAAGCAATCGTATCGCAAAGAATATCCTTGAAGATAAAATATAGATATAGAAAAAAATTTGGAGACAGACTATCATTGAATATATTTACCTCAACTTAGTTACTGAAGTGTACTTGGCATCAGATCAATTTCCAGCTTCATATCTAAATTTAGATATGGAATGAAATTTGGAGACAGACCTATCATTGAAATAGGATGATGAAATGATAAATTGCACGATTCTGAAGAATATGAAAGAGATGAGGAGGATCTGAATTTTATCGCATTATGTTACTGGTTAAATTGGAGGGAAAATAGGTCCACTTGTTGCCTAGAGTGATCTTCATGATACATGAGTAGTGGTAATTAGGGTAGGAATAGGAGAGTGCGAAGACGTGGCTCTATATCGAGAGGGGGTCACTCAGCTTATGTGCATTTCATTTACCGGTTTTAATTGCATTTCTTATTTATGTTACATGTGTCACAATCTGCAGAGGCACAAACGTTTGAAGAAAGTGTTCATTATTCTCCATGAAGAATTGACGGTGAGTTACCTAGTAACCATAGTTTTGGGTTTTTATTCATCTTCATTCGTATTCTTACTTTAGCTGTACCGTTATAACAAATGAATTTTGATTACCTCGTGCAGCAAGTGAAACAAAGAATGATAGACTATGCATCATCTCATGGAAAAGATTGACGAAAACTGGTACCAAAACTCTCTAGAGAATTTGGATCTCATGCTCAGAGGTGAAAAGAGGAGGGTTTGATAGATACTTTCTCCTTTGGAGTCATCTTGTTGTTGAAAAATTAGATGTGTTATTTTATTTGTGAAATTAGAAATGATTCATAGGCAATTTTGTGTGACTTCTACCTAGGGAGGACCTTTCATAGACTATATGGCTTTCAAATTTGTTTCACTTGGGTGTTCTTTGGACATGTCGATAACTAATATGTACATGGTATAAAGATCAATGTAGATTTTCTGGCTCTTCTTCCATGTGAAGCCTAAATATAGAGAACCCAATTGAATGCATAGTATATGATTCCCTTTTTGTACCATCAAGAAATTAGTGTTTGGGTCGTTAATGTCGTTTGGAAAAACGGTCATTTTAATACCAACCGGCCGTTTCGCGCCAAAACATATATCGTTTGGAAAAACGGTCATTTTAATACCAATTGGCCGTTTCGCGCCAAAACATATATCGTTTGGAAAAACGGTCATCTTAATACTTTTTTTTGCTAAATACTAATTGTTGTCTGTTTCGCATCAAAACATATCCCATTTTGTAGTGAATCGAACAATAAATAAACTCGAGTTGAACTGTCCGTTTTGTTTTCATAGTTAGAGACGCACCTTGGTCTTCGTTTGGGTATCAAAATCTGGAACAAAAGGAAAAAAATC